TCAGCAATCCATGATTTTCACAGAGTAATTTGTGCCTTTAGCTCACCAAGTTAATTTGGAATATAATATGTATGTTTACATCCATACACATCAAATTGTCTTTGTTTGCTTTGCAATTTATTTCTTTTTTAATGAACCAGAAACAAAATATCAGGGGATGTGAAACAAAAATAGCAATAATTATAAGAGAGCACAATTCCTGAGCTTATACTGTCAATGATTTACCAACTGATCTGCAATCAATGCCTTTGAGCCATTTGGTCTCAATATATACTGTTGTGTTCAACATCACTTTCTTCCTCCGCAGCTACACATTAGTACACTACAAGTACATTTCTATAATCTGACCCACAAGAGATATTGATATTAGAAATGCTATAGATTATTGGCATTGTTTAAAACAATCAAATGAAGGGTCAGTATCCTGTCATAAGTCAATTAATTAAACAAAAGACTATTAGCCCCTTCATTAAGTGCTGAAGTGGTGCTGAATTGACTGGTGGCTGGATTCAATTCATCAATGCCGAGAGGAAATGCATGTCTCTATTGAAACAGTTGCCAGCTGCAAAATCTTCTATTTTCACTGACTGAATAGAAGATGTCACTGCAGCGTATCAATATTCAGAATGTGAACTGACCTCATACTTCATGAGTTCAACAAAGTTACAAGCGAATTGTGAAGACTAACTTGAATAATTAATATTTATGATATTCAGTGAGTGTCAGCCAGATAATCTTAGTAATGGAAATTTCAGAATTCATAAGATGCAATAAAAAAGAATCACAATTTTATAGCACCTATAAGGGAGATTTATTCATGCAGAGAGCAGATGACTTCCCACTTATCATGAGCTGCTTTGATTCTCTATGGGAGCCATACTGTTGTTGCTGACTTTCTAGTGATCTCATTAAATCAAGTGCAACCTAGAAGTAACCTCAGTAAAGCCAGCTTGGGCAGAGAGTCACCCTTGCTGCTCATTGGCCTTAATGAGTTCTGGAGTTACATTTGGATTGCTCCCAGCCGTGCATCAGCAGCAGGACCTGGCTTTGTGGTGCAGTGGTAATGTCCTACCTGTGGGCCTGAGGGTCTGGGTCCAAGTTCCACCTGCCCCAACCATGTCACAATGTGTCCAAGCAGGTTGATTGGAAAAGCATCAGCATCAGGAGAGAGGGCTCTTATGATGTTATGGTAGTGTCCCTGCCTTAGAAATTATAAAATCAGCATCATGAGGAGAAGGGTTTTATGGTACAGTGGTAGTGTCCCTGCCTTTGAGCCAGGAGACCCAGGTTCAAGTCTCACCTGATTCAGAAGTGTGCAAAAACATCTCTGAACAGGTTGATTAAAATATCTCAGCATCAGTGGAGGCATGGCAGTGGTGTAGTACTAATGTCACTGGTTTAATAATCCAGACAACTTGGATAACGTTCTGGCAACGTGGCCAGGAATTCTACCATGGCAGATGGTAAAATTTGAATTGAATGCAAATCTGAAATTAAACACAACTATGTCGATTGTTGTAAAAACCAATCTGGTTCACTAATGTGCTTTAGGAAAAGGGAAGATTTGCTATCGTTACGTGGTCTCGTCTACTACATGTGACTCCAGACCCCCAGCAATATAGTTGACTCTGAACTGCCCTCTGGGCAGATAAGGATGGGCAATAAATGCTGACCCATACAGCCCATCGGCAATTTTTTAAAAAAATCAATATCGGGAGATTTCTAGTGGTGCAGTGGTAGTGTCCCTACTTCTGAGCCAGGAGGCTTGGTTTCAAGTCCCACCTGCTCCAGAGCTAGGAAATAACATCTCTGGACAGATTGCTCTAGAAAATGTGTTCTGTAGAGTCAAAGGTTCAAATCCCACCATGACCTGATATAGAATTTAAATGTAAACTAATAAAGATCTGGAATTAAAATCTAACCTTAATAAAGGTGGCTATGAAACTATCAACAATTGTTAGAACCCATTTGGTTTACTAATGTCCTTTAGGGAAGAAAATCTGCTGTCCTTACCCGATCATTTGGCAACTTTGTTGACTCTGAACTGCCCTCTGGAATGGCCTAGCAAGCTATTCAGTTGTACAGAACTGCTCCATAAAAGACAAACCTGATATATTATGTTGAATGGCACAAGGGCAACAAATTCTGGCCTGACCAGTGGGGCCCACATCCCATGAAAAAATAAAACAAAGTACCACTAACTTGCTCAAAGCAATAGTTGAGGGTGTGGGTTGAAAGCAGTCCAGGCATATTTTTTTGTAAATCTTATTCATTATTCAGTGGAATGTGTCCAATGTTGTACCTCCAAATTTTATCATTCAGAGGCTTTGTTAAGTTATTTTTTCTTTATATTTCTGTCCTTAATATTTTTAGATTAGTAAATGGCAGGAATGATTGCAAAAGTTGATAAACATTGGAAATCCTTGAGAAGAAATGCCTGTATGATCCCTCCAAGCCTTCAAAGAAAGCATTCTATCTGGGTGCATTATGGCTTGGTATGGCAACTGCTCTGCCCAGGACCATAAGAAACTGCAGAAACAAAAACAAAGTTGCTGGAAAAGCTCAGCAGGTCTGGCAGCATCTGTGAGGGAAAAAACAGAGTTAACGTTTAGGGTCTGGTGACCCTTCCTCAGAAACTGCAGAAAGTTGCGAACACAGCCCAGACCATCACACAAACCAACCTTCCATCCATTGATTCCATCCACACTTCTCATTGCCATGGAAAGGCAGCCAACATCATCAAAGACCCCTCCCACCCTGGTTATAATCTCTTCCAACCTCTTCTGTCAGGCAGGAGATACAGAAGCTTAAACACACAGGTTCGAAAACAGCTTTTTCCCTGCTGTTATTAGACTGTTGAATGGACCTCTCCAATTTCAAATCTAATGTTGATCTAGCTTTACTGCACTTCATGTGCTGTCGTAACCTTGTATACCTTGCTGTGTCTAAACAACTTATCCTTATATGTTATGATCTGCCTGTACTGTACACAAAACCAAACTTTTCACTGTACTTAGGTACATGTGACAACAATAAACCAAAGCAAATCAATTCAAGTCATGTGATCCCACTAACTGCCGTGATCCAATTTGAGATACCACTGGCCAAATCTGCCTTAATAACAATTGACTGCAGCACATTCTATTATTTGTAACCAATGACTAAACATTTCAATAAATCCAGTCATAAAAATAGGGAAACATTTAGAACACTCCTGGCTGTCATTTTCATATGTTGCAGTTTGCATTAAATATTAAAGGTTGCATTAAACATTTAAAGTGATCTGCAGAAGAAGGGCGAAATGAGGAAAAACTTTTTGGCTCAGCAATTAGTTAGGGAATAGAATGCACTGCTTGGAAGTGTGGTAGTAGCAGGTTCAATCTAAGTAATATGAAGGACATTGGATAGAAATAATTAGCACTAGGAAACAATACTCATTTAACAAGTCGTGCAGGCACAATGGATAGAGGGCACCATGACACTTCTGTGATTCCATGAAATGTAGCATGGTGTAAACTATAGCCAGGATTTTTCTCTGGTCCAGGGTTTCCATTCCTCATCTTGGCCAACAGGCAGTTAAGGCACTCGCGCTAAGCCTCCTTTCCCTATCAAATTCATCAAATGGTTGGCAGCATGCTGATCTCAACAGCACCACCAGAAGTGATAGCCAATACTGGGACTGGAGCCCATCCTCAACAGCAATCGCTGCTGAAACCCAATGTAAAGATATGTGAAGGGAGGACATCTCACCATGGCCAAACTACCAACTCCGAGCTAGCATCTGGGGGACCAGGGTGGATAGGCCATGGGAGGGGAAACAGTTATGATTACCTGGGGAGCCTCCAATCCAGAGACACAGGTAGTGTTCTATAGATCTGGGGCCAAATCCCCCCATGACAAATCATGCAATTTGAATTCAATGAAGAAGTCTAAAGATGACTTTTGATTATTGAAAAAACCCATCTGGTTCAGTAATGTTCTTTAGGGAAGGGAATTGACATCCTTACCTAGACTGGACTACATGTGACTCCAGACCCACAATAATTTGGTTGATTCTTAACTGTTCTGTGGACAGTTGGGGGCGGGGGGCAATAAATGCAGGTCTGGTCAGCAACACCCACATCCCGTGAATGAATATCAAAAAAATCCCCACCTATATTTTCCCTGCCAGCAGTTGCTAAGCATCATGCTTGGCACTGACCTTCGCCCACCACAGGAACAATTGTAGCAGGGATAAGAAGACGCCCTGTTTAACAGGCTGCGTATGCTCTCAGTTGGCCCTCTGGCAAGGGGCTGGAGGCTGCTTGAACACTTCCACTGCTGTGGGAAACATTGTGGCAGGTGTGGGTGGATACCAGATGTGGCATGGCCCAAATTTATGCCCACGCACATACCAATCTGCCCCCAGCCCTATGCTTCAAGACACACAAATCTTATATTAATAGCAAGTCATTACATCCAGATCATGCCTTCAATATGGAAAAATAATCTTGCACATTTCATAAAGGCAAAATCCAAATTAAATACAACAAGCCAAAGGAAGGGATATTAAGAGAGTCTGATGACAGAGATGGGTTTAAAGGAGGACCTTCAAGGAAGACGGGAGTTGGAAATTGGAGATTCCAGTGATGAAATTCCCGGACATGGGAGGGATGGTCACCAGTGTGCAGAAGATAGGGAAAGGAGTCACATAAAGATATAGAAACTGTAAAGCTGCCATTAAATACTAGGTAATATAATGTTTACCATTACATAACAAGATTGTTTTTGTTGAATTAGCATTTTACACTTAAAAAAATCCGAAGTGTGTCAAGCAAAGAATAAAGGGCATTTTTTCAAAATACTGAAACGACAGTGGTTAAGTTGTGGAATGGGCTCCTAACCATTGAACATCATCTTATGCAAAACAAGATTATTTGAGTGGGCATTTTTTTTAATTGAAATGAAGTGCAAATTTTCTTTTGTAAATGCATATCCTTTGCTGCTCAATTTCCTCTCACCTCGCTTCAATAAGCTGACATCTCAGTGCCTTTGTGTGCCGGTCTTGGAGTATCTCTAAACCCAGGTGTATCTCTCCTTGAATCTCTTCATCAGGGTTAATCCGAGTCAGATTTATCCAGTTGTCAATTCCTGGAAGAGAATTAATTCCCATTACAACACACGTTTACAATATAAAAACAAGCTGGAATGCAGCAAATGTGCAGATGTTTGAGAGCTACCAAGTACTTTAATAAAGATCAATTCTCTTCCATTGTATTTTTTTCATCATGCTGATGTCTTTTCTCTGATCCATCCTTTTTTCTGTGCTCATTGTGCCTGACTCAATTTTTTCTTCAAGATATAAAGTTGACACTGACAATGGGTAAACTGTACATGATCTATGGAGAAACTTTCTTGCCCAAAGTGATCCTCACATTTATCGGGCTTATCTAAAAGTGCCCTCCCTCTGAAGCCACATACTCTGACACTGTCAGTGCTGGAAAGCATTAAAGCATTTGGGATAGGAGCAAATTACTGCAGATGCTAGAACCTGTACTGAAAACAAAAATTGCTGGAGATCACAGGGGGTTAGGCAGCATCCATAGGGAGAGAGAGCAAGCTAATGACTCTTCATTGTTGAATGTGCTATTATGCACATCAAAGTATGTGGCTTCCTGTGGTGCTAAAATGGTCTAGTGCATGTCCCTGTAACTATCTACAGATTATAACAATTGACTCTACCTTACTAAACAGACTGTTGTAGAGTCTTGTGGAGTGTGGTATTAACCCTACTTCTGAACAAGAAGATCCAGGTTCAAGTCTCACCTGTCCCAGAGGTCTGTCATAAAATGTCTGAGCAGGCTGATTAACATATCTATAAAGGTTGTTGGGAGCACCTAGGCTTAGGCCTCTCACCATACCCTTATGACCACCATCTCAGCAGGTAGGTGTGGAATCAATGCCAGAGCTTTTGCTTGGCAGCACTTGATATTTTGGTCAATCTGACAGCATTAGATGTTGCCTTTAAGTATATACAGCATATGAAATAGAGCAGGAGTAGGTCATTTGGGCCTTAAAGCTTGCCCCACCATTCAGCAAAGAACACAGCTGATCTGCCCCAGGCCACAATGCCTATTCTTGACAGCCCATCTCCTTTAAGTAGCATCCAGCAAAGCATTACCTTAAAAAGCAAAGTTTATTTTGATCTTGTTGTCTAAGCTTATATCAAAGAATAGAAAGAAATGGATATTTCCAAAGCATTTTACAGGCAATAAAATACTTTGGAAATCTAGTTTCTAGCTCTTTTTCAAATAGAGTCTTTACAACTTGGAAGGTGGCTATTTGACCCTTCAAGTCTATGCTGACTTTTTATACAGCAATCCAATTAACACCATAATGTCATGGGATCCCAAGATAGCAGGGGGTGTCTCCAAAATGGAACCAATTATAACTCACTCAAAATCTCTTCACTCAGACAGTAAACATAAGACCCAATGTGTCTGGGATGCAGACAGTAGCAAATTCCAAGCATTCAGACAGTGTATCATAGAATCACAGAATCCCTACAGTGTGGAAACAGGCCCTTCGACCCAACAAGTCCACACCGATCCACAGAGCATCCCACCCAGATCCATCCTCCTATAACCCACCTCATCTACACACCCCTGAACACTACGGGTAATTTAGCATGGCCAATTCACCTAGTCTGCACATCTTTTGGACTGTGGGAGGAAACTGGAGCACCCGGAGGAAACCTACGCAGACACGGGGAGAATGTGCAAACTCCACACAGACAGTCACCCGAGGGTGGAATCAAACCGGGTCCCTGGCGCTGTGAGGCAGCAGTGCTAACCACTGAGCCACCGTGCCGCCCCATAATATAATAAACACATACCCAACTGAGAGGCCTGTAGCTGAGCCACTATGCCCAAGCTGATATATATGAGATGAGTAAAACTTGGAGAATCTATGGGAACTCGTTATCTGTTTGTGGAAAATGATCATCAGACGCCATTTCAGCCACCTCCAGCAAGATGCCATCACCAGTCACATATTCCCCTCCCCTCCCTTGTCCACCTTCTGCAGGGACCGTTCCCTCTGGGACACCCTGGTCCACACTTCCTTCACCCCCATCATCTCCCCTCAGCCCTACAGCATCTTCCCCTGTAACCGGAGGAGGTGCAACACCTGCGCATTTACCTCCTCCCTCCCCAGTATCCAAGGGCCCAAACATACCTTCCAGGTGAAGCAACACTTCACCTGCACTTCCCAGGATCTAGTCTACTGCATTCGCTGCTCACAATGTGGTCTCCTCTACACTGGGGAAACGAAGCGTAGACTTGGCGACCGCTTCGCAGAACATCTACGTTCTGCTCGCAAAAAAGACCCTGAACTACCTGTTGCCCGCCACTTCAATGCACCACCCTGCTCCCTGGCCAACATCTCTGTCTCTGGCTTGCTACAGTGTTCCAGTGAAGCCCAATGCAAGCTGGAGGAACAATACCTCATTTTCCGCTTGGGGACCCTACAGTTCTCCGGACTCAATATTGAGTTCAATAATTTTAGGGCCTAAACTCTCCCATGTCCCAGCCCCCAACCCCTCACACCAGGCCTTGTTACCACATAGCCTGCCATTACACACCCCCTGTTATTAGTCACTAACAGTCCCCTTTAACAACCGTTCACCCTCCCAGCCTGATCGTTAGCAACTCCTTTGCCTGTCCAACTGTCTTTCTCTCTCTTTAGGCTCTATCCTCTCATTTACTCCCTACCCCACCCACCTCCCTATTTTCTGCATATAAACTGACGTTTTCCCAGCCACCATCAGTTCTGAGGAAGGGTCAACGGGCCCGAAACGTTAACACAGATCTCCGCATTCCTGATTAAAATCCAGAAATATTATTGCATCAAATGTGCCAAACGAGATTTTTTTTTTAAATTGAGTGCTCCGTATGCTTAAGACAAACTCAATGTCTCATCAATAAATGCAATTTGCACCACCAGAAAACCGCCCCACAATGCCACAAACAGTGATGAAGCCTGGCTATGTAGAGAGGGAAAGCCCATCGTCACCTGGTATTAATGACATTAAGTAAGCAGCTGAATGTGCCTCACAAAAGTCAACAGCAGTATCCCTTCACTCGATTCCAACAAGGCTTTTATCACGTGTAAATCCTTCATGTAATAGGTGATGCACACATGCACAGCATGTGACACAGGGGAATATCATCCTTACAACTTCATTTTCTCACCTCCTACTCTGCTTACAACAGATGATGTACAACAAAAGGAAGAAAGGATGAAACCCAAAACTACTGAACACGAGGTGGTGAGCATGGAGCTCCTGGAATGAAACATTCGCAAGCGGTTGAGAATGCGAAGTAGGGACTTTCTCCACAGTTTAGGATTTATATGGGGATACTTTCCTATTTTCCTTTGGATGCACAAAGACTCAGAAACCAAAGGATATACTGAAGTGCAATGCCCATACTTCTCATCCTGCTGAGAGCTCTTTCTGAGGGGGTCCCAGAAGGATTGCATTGCAACACGTATTCTTCGTCCCTGTCTCTCAGCGTACCAGAAGGAAAAATCAGTTACATTGAACAAACACTAAGGTTAATGCTCCAAAGTCCCTCCATCCTTAAAGACTTCATTACTGACATACAAGGGACAAAGCATGGAGCTGATTCAGACTGCATCATACGGCGGGGTCTGTAGGAGCAGTCCTGAGTCAGGGTTGAATCATTATAGAATCCCTACGGTATGGAAACAGGCCCTTCAGCCCAACAAGTCCACACTGACCCTCAGAGCATCCCACCCAGACCCATCCCCATATAACCCACCTAATCTACACATCCCTGAACACTATGGGCAATCCATCTAACCTGCACATCTTTGGACTGTGGGAGGAAACCAGAGCACCCAGACCAAACCCACACAGACACGGGGAGAATGTGCAAACTCCACACAGACAGTCACCCAAGGGTGGAATTGAACCCAGGTCCCTGGCGCTGAGAGGTAGCAGTGCTAACCACTCAGCCACCGTGCCGCCCTTGAAAGAAGGGTAGAGGAAAGAAGTCACTTGGTGAATTCAAATTCCACCATATGCCATGATAGGATTTGAACCCGGATCCCCAGGGCATTACCTCTGTCTCTGGATTAATAATTATCTAGTGATAATACCGCTAAGCCATTGCCTTCCTCATTCAGCGTTCAGCAGAGTATGAACAGATTTTGGAGGCTCCACGAGTAAATTTAAAATCCCCAGAGGGCAAAGGAAAGCTTTAGAAAACACGAGAGGCTGGAAAAATAGAAATAGAGTAAGTACATATCGCTCAAATCAAGTGACACTGCCATCATGGATGGACACCACCAATTAGCTTCCCTCTAATGTTTCCTGCCACTGCATGGCAGCTTAAAAGATACAGTGATCACAAAGCTTAGCAACAGGAAGAGAAATCAATTGCCACAAGTGCAATTTAAACAGAGGTCGCAGACTCAGGAATGTCACAAAGCCAGGGAGTTAAATGACAAAAGGGCAAATTAGAAGCCTGAGCAACAGTGTCTAACAGAAGAAGAAAGCTAGGAGACTTCATTAAGATTGCAGAAAAGGCAGAATATCCTTCATTAAAATTGTGTTAAAGCTGGCAAGCATTCATTTAAACCACACGGAGCAGAAATCATTCAGGATCAAATCATGAAAGAAGCAGGGAACAATATTCGAGCTCCAGATGGCAAGAATCAGCCAGAAAAAGCCATTAAGGAAATAGAAATCATTTATTAAAGATGCAAAGAGCAGATTCAACAATGAAGCTGAGAGAGGTGAGAATCCTCAATTTTAGCTGCAAAAGACAAGAAACCTCCACTTTCACCAAAGAAGGGAGGTCACAAAATGTAGGAAAATCCTGAGGTATAGTAATATTGCTAAATCTGCAAAGCAGAAGCTTTTCAAGCAAGGAAAATAATTCAGTACATTAGGAAGATATGGCATCAGGAATATCAGTAAGAAGACTTAATTTCAGAAATGGACCAAATATAACACAGAATTGAACAGCTGTAGAAAACAATTATTAAGGTTCAGAAGAGCTTCCAAATTAGATGCTAAATCAGAAGCAGGACAGGTTAATGAACACTTACATACAATTGGGAGT